TATTATTTATTCCATATTTTATTTATATTTAAAGATTCATTAATAATATTTTAGTAGGAAAGGAAAGAGTATAATTGTAAATTTTTACAGGTGTTAAAAATGCAGTTAAGAAATGATATAATATTTCCAAAATTAACCGTTTTGCCCTTCTTGTAAAATAAAATCAAATCATTTTCATCATTTCTGTTTCATACCTCAAATTTTACCTATCTATAAATGATTAAAATGTTATTCGTATAAATGGCAACAAAAACCTTGAATATTTTATATTAATAACCTAGGCATATAATAATCTAACTCACGAATTTGGTGTTATTTAAAAGCAAAAAAAAATATGTCAAAAATTGGGTATTTATTTCAAGCAAAAACGCAACCCCCCACTACCCTTCTTAAAAAATGTATTGTAGAAACTATACATATATACATATTCTTTCCAATTCCAAAAATGAGCCTCGATGTCAAAGGGTTAAAAAGTTATAGCATACTATTTTTTATTTTATTTGCTGTCCAACCCCGGTCTCTCCTAAACAAATTTTTGAATAAATATTTTAACTTCATCATAGTCATCATTATCAGGTAAAATTTCTTCTTCAACAACAAAATTTTTGTTGGGTTTTTTTTATATAAAGAGATTAACTTCTTTTTGAATTCATTACTGCAAATATGTGAATAGAATGATTATATATAAAAAAAATATTTTTCTACTCAGAACTAATCTGCTTTAACAGTTGTATTATTATCTATATTTTCCGTAAGGTACTAATCCGAAGATTGTACAGTTACTTGTTTTATTTCCTTGTTCCTATGGTAATTTTTTAAATATGGGCATCCATTTGTCACAAGACATATATTTTTTGCTCTAAATAATTTGGCAGAATGTTTTCTCGGCAAAAATTTCTGTCCTTGAAGAAAGGTAAAATACAATAATTAGATTATATACTAATTTTTCTATTTTATTTTTAACCTGACTATTCAGATCTCAATTAAAAAAAATTATGGATTTATATCTAGTATAATTTGGTTTATAAAACATGGATATAAATTGGATACGATCGATTTAGTTGATAACCTATGGATGTTTGCTGGATCGAATTTGAGAATACAAGGATTATTGGTTGGGAGGTATAATAAAGAATAAGCTGGATGTTATGGGATTAGTAAATAAAAGGTTGTGTTGTTAATGTCTACATAAAAATGGGATTTGCTTCCCTATATCTTTATATCTTTCAAAGTTTAAGAAGTAAAAAACTATTTATCAGAGTAATTCTCAAATATCTGCGTCCTATCTCTTAGATTATTTTCCTTTATGAAAACGCTGATGGTTGCAAAGGATTGCAATAAGAAATTAAATTTTCTAAAGAATATGGGGCTAGTATTGGTGTGAAATAGACTCCCAATTATTATATAGCATCCACAAGTTTCCATCTGAATAAATGGCCATATATCTGCAAGCTAATACGTTCGTTTATAAAGAAATTTTAGAACGCAAAGATTGATCAGGATCAGATACATATTGGACCTTTATTATAATTTCAAAGAATGTCACAAATTTGCCAGATTTCAATTGGTACGTTAAATTAATGTTGAATTCTTTATTCAGGCAAATCGTAATGTGTTGACGGTAGATCTGTCATAGGGTTTAATACTATATCTCCGTTTAGATGTCTTATTTTTTCTTCTAGAATCAGGGTCAGGGATAAATAAATGTTTACTCTTAGCATTACGTAAATTATGGTCTTTTTTCAAATTTAATATAACCCATTTTAATACCCTTAGATACAAGAAATTACACAAGAATCTTTATTAGATTTATTTAAAACTGGGCATCGCCAAAGCCGGGCCTTCGTCCGGAGAAAGTGCAACCTGGGAGCACAAATGGTGAGGAATCAGAGAAGCAAATAATTTTTCGAAATAAGATTTAAAAAATAAAAAGGGTTAATAAAAAATTAAAGAAATATAACCTTAAATAAAGTAATAAATAAATTTGCGAAGGAATTATATCAACCTAAAATACTAAAGGAATATAAATAAAACTTAATTTTCTGATGAATTTAAATATAAATGATTTTGTAAAATAAAAATGTCCTAACTAATCATGCACTATGTCACTATAACATGAAGTGAGGATATGACGTAGTGAAGACATCGGAAAATTATAATATATTTAACAAATTTAAAATATCAGTTATGAATTTTGCTTTCAGGAGGTATGAATATAGATTGAAGTCCCCTTATTTAATATCTTTTCAACATTTCTTAAATTCTATAAATATAATACACATAAAAGGGATGTTAATGCCAATATCCAGATATCTTTTTATTGTAACTTAGTTATATAACAAAGATTTTTTTAACCTTTACTTTCAAGGTAATGATAACAGTAATTATTATATTTTTAGGAAACGATAACTAAACACGTGCATATTTTTTATATAAAGTTAAGGATCAGCCATATCCGGGAGGAAAACGGTGTCATTCATTATATGGTCATACGAGTCAAAATTCTGACATTTTGTAAATAATGTACCAATTGTTCTGGTTACATGTATTTCTTGAATTGGATATATCATATGCTCGTAATTCAGATGAAATGCCACTAATTAGAAATTGTATTAATTTTTATCAATTCTTCTTATTAATTATTTTATTTAAGAAAACGCAAAGTTAAATAAATACAAGGTTAAAGCTGATAATAGTGCTAATATGTTAGGAAAACATCAGCATGAATTTCTTGATCAGGATTTCAGAATTTTTACTCAAATATTTCGGATTGTCAATTTTAGATATCGCCAAAGAAAGATAAATCTAGGGTTAGGCAGTATTGCGAATAAGGTAATAAATATTAATTATCTGTTCGGCATGTGACATATAGAGGCGTCGCTAGCCTTTACGATCTCAGGGGGCTAAACTGAAATTTTTTTACGGGGGGCTTAGCCTCCCATACCAATCAATTTGCGGGCCTTCGGCCGGGTTTTATATTAATATATTATACTTTTTTAAAATTTACTAACTCTAAATAATTATTCTGAGTGTCATTTATTATGTTTTGCAGGCAAAATAAACTAGGATATAAATTAAAATAATACATGACATTTCTAAAAATAATATTTTTTTAAAATCTATTAATTACAGTATAAAATTTCGAATGTTGATATAAAAAAAATTTTGCGTCTAAATAATTATAAATGATAAAAAAAATTAATTAATTCATATATATGCCTCAATTGATAATGGTTTTTGAAAACTACATAATATATTATAATTATTAGCAACTTACATTGACAAAAGGACATGAAACTAATATAACTCCCTATTACCATTTTAGACAATGTTTTATAGAATGGTCTAATAAGAAAAAATTTATAGACCTTACCAAATCTACAATTCTTAAAGAAGAGAGTATATACGACCATTCGAAATCATAAAACTATATGGTGGTTAGAGCTTCCTTTTAGATGACATGATGGAAGCTAGATAAGTAATCGAGAAGATTATTGAGAGATATTAAATATCTAAAAGATTATCTTCCATTTTAAATGGTATATAAACGATTACACAGTTGACCATTATTGTTTATCTAAAATATGCAATCATATGCTCTCTGCCGTTGTAGTAATAATCTTAAATTACATAGCAACACAAATATTAGATGCTGGTTAATTTGCAGTAATTGCCATGACACTCATAACGATTTATATTAACTTTATAGTTCATAAGATATACCTTATATCTTTGAATGTAAACTAATATCAGAATTTATTATGTTGGATAAATTGATAAAATAAAAACACTAAAAATCTTTGGAAGAAATAATTATGCAAATATATTGAGCCTGGAGTTATTTACACGTAGATGCCATATTAGAAATGAAACATTTTCTAACTATAAAATAAAGACCAGAATGATATGATGAAACAATTAAGATTATATATATTATCGCATTACCTTGGTATATTATATCTTAAAATAATAATAGTTTATAATAATATCAAAAATATATTTGTATTAAAGATTTAACTTAAATCTATTTTTCGAATAAGAAAAATATAGCTTTCCTAAAAACACGTAAAAAAGAGAAGAAAATATATCTAATTTATTACATCTATTGTGAGATGAATGATAATAAGTTTAACTCTAATTAAATTTTTAAATAAATAATTTAAATAAATAGATGGCGTTAATTATTTGTAAGCAAATTGTTACTTAATCAAAAGCATTTATTTGTAAAACTTTAAAAATATTAATTGTAATATATTATATAATTGTCAGATATGTCTGTAAAAGTGGCATTTTATGTAATATTTTATAAAAAATTATATATAAAAGAGGATTATATTATATGTCTACTTACTTTTTATATATAAATCTCTTATACTTATTTGGATTTGGACCTTGAAAATATTCCTAAGGAAGAGACCTGATAATTAAATTTAAAAATCAATAATATAGTTGATTAGTGATTTTAAACTCTGCTAAAATATTAATTTAATAATTTTCAATTAATATATGATTATTTATTTAATTGGGGTTATATAATAATATATATAAAAAAAGTCAATTAAGCTTCAACTGTTAATGCTAAATTAATATTTAGTGAGTGATACTGTTTTATTTTTAACATAGAATTTGATTGCAAGCTGACATAGTATAATTTATATATAATAATCTAATCTAATCTAATCTAATAATTAAAATAGTATTCATTTAATAAAAATGAAGATAGTTATATTAATTTTTTAATAAAATTAAATCTATATATTACTCAATAGAATTATAAAAGAAATTATTCAGAGGGCAATTAAAAACATTTATTTTTAGCTCAAGGGGATATTAAGGAGCCATTAAAAAAATATTTTTGCTTCAGAGGGCTATTCAACTTTTCAGGGGGCTCGAGCCCCTGCGCGCCCCCCTAGCGACGCCACTGGTGACGTATATTGGTAATATATGAAGGTGATAATTAGAAAAAAAGGAACAACTTTTGGTCAATATATGAATTCATTCATAAATAAAGCATGTTTATCAAATTTTACAAAACTACCAAATTTATGGGCAAACCAACATATCGTTACTTAGCAAGTGATGCCAATGGTAATTATATTATATATAATTTTTTTCAAAATGATTGCATAGAATGTAACTTTTCTGAATTTTTACAAAAACGGAGATCTGAAGCTCAAAATAGTATTTTACTAATTTTACCCAATATCTCATCCTCAAAACTAGCATTTTTAAAATGTTTGCAATTTGGTACAATTAAAAAAGCATATCCTTATCAAATTATGCAAGGGAAGGTTTGTTATTCTTTTATAAAATATTAATACTTATCATATGATATTATTTATATTATATTGTTGACACTGAAAGACCTTCTTACATTTTAAAATTTCTACACAAAACTATTTAAATGTTACTTAATATAATTTTACATTATTTTGTAATAATGGTTCTCCTTTATTCGGATACTATTTAGTTCATAATAGGGAATTTTTAAATAAACATTATTGCCAAAATATACATCTTCAAAAAAGTTTTAATTACAAAGTTTTCCATAACAACATATGTTATTAAATAGATCAATATAATACATACATCATTTTGTATTTTTATTAAGAACTGTATGTTAATAGAGTTTGCAAACTATAAATCAGTGATTCGACTTATAAAGAGTGCCAGGCATTTTGACCCAAATTTAGTGATCCCTGTAAAATCAAGAGTATGTTGGTTTGCAGATAAACAAAATTTTAAACAATTCCCCCAAAATTGGTTTGATTCAAATTATGGGCAATTAAATAATGACAATGAGGCAACTTATATTGAAAATTCTTTACATCTCAATCTTGATATGGACAAATTAAAGACCAGAATTCTTGGAACAACATCAGTAATTAATTAAGCTTAATTATATAAATTTAATTCTTAAAGTAAATGAGCCAATATTATAAAATGCTTAAGGTCAATTTGAATCTAGTCTACCTCTCGAAAATAAATTATCAAGAAGATGCTATATCTTCCAAAAGTTATATGATGTATTATGATTTTTCTACTAATAAAAATAAAGTTTTCAGGCCAAATGCAAATCCTAAACAACGACACAAAAATATCGGATTTAGGTTGCAGGCTAAGGTTTTTAACCTGTTCACTGCTTCAAGAAGCCCTAAGCGGAATGTTTGGTATGTATGATGAACTTAGTGTAAATTCACAATCAAATTCAAACAATAGAACAAATACATATAACTCAGGAGATAACCAGCTTTTAACATCACAAACTTTATTTACTCCCTTTGGCTCATCTGTCAATAGTTTTGGGAAATACAATTCTGACCTTGATATGCTCCTTACTTTCCCTTCTTTCAATCCTCACAATAAGCAAGGAGGTAATTCTTAATATTAAAAATTATATTTATTTACCAAAATAAAAATTATTTAAAAACATTTATTGTATCTTGTACAGTTATAGATAACTAAGTTTTATTTAATTAATATTATATCTTTTTATTTTTATAGATTCACAATCACAATACACATAATATATATATAAATGTTATAATTTTATAAATAAAAAGGTAATTTTATTTTTGATGCTAAACGCTGCCTTACTTCTGACCGTCAGCAATCGGCTCGTACTTTAAGATTAATATCAGATCTTTTACAATCATTCCTGCCTGGGACAAAAGAAATACAAAGAATTTTGAGGGCAAGAGTTCCTATAGTGAAATTCACTCATGATAAGCTTGGACTTTCTTGTGATCTCTCCTTTGGATCAAAGTAAAAATAAAATAATTGTCATAAAATATTCTTTGAAGTTGGATTTCATTTTTTTTAAAATATGGTTCATTGGAATTTATTTATTAACACTTATAATATATTTATAAAAATTATCAAATTCACCAAGTGAGAAATATCCCCCCTCCCATTTTAATTACGCTAATGTATCAAGGCATTGATTCCTGTACCTAACTTTTAACTCAACAAAGTATATCACTTTCTACTCGTATATTTAGGTAATGGCTAAAAATCGGATATTTTGACTCTACAGATGCATACCAAAGAAAATTTACTAAGCATTTAGGCCCGAGTTAATTTTTTTAAACTTTCTTTAAAGTCGAATTGGTTGAGGTGCTTTTTAGCTAAAAACTTGGTTTAACCTTTTTAAGTCTGCTAAAAATAACGCCATTATTTAAATATCCTTAATAGTGATCTTTTATCAATAAAAGTGAGAAAATATCATCTATATACATGGCTATATATTAATCATATTATAAAAAAATATTAATAAATTATTTTATGCTGTTGTAATAAAATTTAGTGGTGGCCTCGAGATGTCAGATATTTTATATACGCTGGGTAGAGCCGACCCTAGGATAGAAATACTATTCTCTAGCATTCGATTTTGGGCCAAAAATTATGGGGTAACCAACCCTTTCCCTGGCAAATGGCTCACTAATTTCATGCTACTACTTATGACAATTCACTACTTACAACACCAAGGTAAATATAAATCAGATGAATATCTGGTAAAACTATTTATTTTATTTAAATTCTGCAACTTCATATTAGCATTCTAGTGTTTCCCCTGTGCTTTATAAGGGAAGATTAAAAGTCTAACACCTAAATTCATAAATGCTATCCAAATCTAATAAAATGCGATAACCTTAAATTGTAAAAAAAGTATTTGAATCGTAAGAAATCGGTTCGAGTTTATTAAAAAATATCGGTAGGACAGGTCTCGATTTGTAAAAAAATAATATAGGTTCGGTTTGGGCCTTTAAAATCCCTTTCTAAATATTTTCTCTTATAAAATTATGAGATTTATATATATATAGAGAGAAGAAGCACATTGTTTTCAAATGTTATGTTTAAAAATTTAAAACTTATCAAGCAACCAAACGTTTATTTATCTTTGTTTTTTTTGTAACACACAGAATTATAGCTAAATGTATATAGATTAATTTATTAATTATAATATAATATGGCTTAATTAAATTAATTTCCCAACAAATACTAGCCTAGGGCTGTGTCAATTAGTGATCTGCATCGGGCATAATTTTTCAAGCCCGGCCCGTAATTTTTTTTATAAAATTTTGCCCAGCCCGGCCCGAATTTAATAAAATATTGAAATTAATATAATTACTCAAAATAAACGATATGTTATATGGCGTCTACTTTCTATAAATAAAATCACATATTTTTATTTTACATAAAAAATTTAACATAAAATTGATAAAAATTCGGGCCGGGGCTACTTTTGCAGATCTCTAGTGTCAATCCATTAATTTTTCACCAATCTGATATTAGATTAATTTTTTTATTTACCATCTGGGCCATTCCACGTCAAATCGATCACGATTCGGCCGACTCCTTTTAAAATTGTTAAAAATTTTTGGAATTATTTAGATAGGTAAGAGTGAGAAAGCCGTTTATTTTAGCTAGCTAGCACACCTGGTTCTCGAGATATAGGGGCTCAAAGGTACAAAAAAGAGCCACTTTGGAATCTGTAAAATTTTTAAAATGCTTATATCTCAAAAACTATTTATAGTAAAAAAAATATAATACATTTTGTAGGTAAAGAAATTCTCTAATGGGCTAACAAAGAATAATAAATATTGGCGCCATTATAGGCTTTTATCATCCGGTTTACCTAAATTGCTTTACCTGTATTTTTAAGCAAAATAGTGTGTTTGTTTTCGAATTTTTTTATTGCTTTTTATTTAGACACCTTTGCTAAATATATATACAATATCAAAACCTTAGCGACGCTATGGACTCCAAAAATTGACAAAAATAATAGATGGCCCTTTATGATATTACGGATTATGGTTAAGATTTTGCTGCTAACTTATCAATAACTAGATATTTTCACATTTTATATTAAAAAAATTTGATTTTCTATTAAATATACTAATTAACTGAGGAGCAGAGTGGGCATATGCCCATTAGACACTTAATGTAACAAATTTCCAATAATAAATATCTTTTAATTTTTAAGGTGTCTACAATTTCATCGAATTTTTCATCATTTGATGAAGATAATGGTATAATTTTAGTCGTTAAAACTTTTTTTTACTCTAGATATTTTTTTCATCGAATATTTCTTTTCACATAAGCGTTTTCTTTTAATTAGAGATTCCCCATTTGATTGTTAGGATACATTAATGTTATATAGCCTCTTGATTAATATGAAGGGGAGAATCAATATCTACATTGTCATCTGAAGTATAAGGAATGTTTCCTAATTTTTGTCGCCATGATGAGCACACTAACATATCCAAATTGAGTGGTAAATTTTTATGGGTTATCCAGGGTAGAATCTTTCTTAGATTCTCACGATAATAAGTATGTCTCTGTAGATTAAATGGGTGCAACATTTTAATATTTGGTACGTCCATCTGTGATATAGAATAAAATTTTAATTGATCTACACCTAGAATACATGTTTTTGCACTCTCCAAATCCAGATTGTTATTGGTAGACAGACGATAAAATTAATCTGAACGGACAGGTTAAAATTATTTCGCAGAAAGAGAGATCGTTTTATACAATTTATTTTGTAAAATATAATCGAATATATGCCTAATAAAATATTCGTTTTTACTGCAGCTGTTATATACTATCGAGCTAATAAAACATTCGCTAGCTATAGTAGCAAAGTAGAGATCTAAAAAATGTAAAACATTTTAAGGATAGTGGGAGGGGGGGGGGAGGGCAGAACTGGGAAATTTTATCACAATTCTTATAAACGTATCAATATTTTCATTTTCCTTAAGAATAATATTTTTCAATTATTAGCGCCATCTACTTTTTTCTTAAATTTTTGATAAAAATGTATATTATGGAAAAGTCGATAGCGTCGCCAAGGTTTTGACATCGTATATATATATTTTTAAAAGGTGTCTAAATAAAAAGCAAAAAAATAAATTAGAAAACAAACTCACTATTTTGTTTAAAAATAGAGGTAAAACAATTTAGGTAAACCGGATGTTAAAAGCCTATAATGGCGCCAATATTTATTATTCTTTGTTAGCCCATTAGAGAATTTACCTACAAAATGATATATTATAATATTTTTTACTATAAATACTTTTTGAGATATAAGCATTTTAAACATTTTACAGATTCTAAAGTGGCTCTTTTTTGTACCTTTGAGCCCCTATATCTCGAGAACCAGGTGTGCTAGAGAGCTAAAATAAACCGCTTTCTCATTCTTTTACCAATCTAAATAATTTCATAAAATTTTAACAATTTTAAAAGGGGTAGGCCGAAAAAGTGCCTTTTTTGATCGATTTGACATGGAATGATGGCCCATCTATCTTTAAACCAATATGAGAAAAATATTACTTTAAATGCAAAAAAAATACAAATCGTAAACTATACCTACAAAAAAACGAATCGAATATTTGCATTATTCGTTTTCGACTTGAATAGTTTTGTTATTCGTTTTCGTTAAATACGAATCGGATCGAATAAAATAGAATAACGAATAATTCGTTTTAAATATAACTGTAAAAACTGTGAGTGACAAGAAACATTTTAAAATTTTCTTTTTTTCATGCCCAAAACGATATTTGATGCATTATCATGAAAATTTTATTTATTTTTTTTCATTCCCCAAAAGTTTATCGTTTCACTTAAAATATGGGCAATATTTATGAATGACAGAGAGTAGTATTGCTTAAAATGTAGATTTAGCCGATCATTTTTATCAAAATGGCTAAATTTAATTTTTTTCAAATAAATATTACCTAAGCCGAGATTTCGCCATATTCAAATTAATAAACTATACCATAGGACAAAAATAATGGCTGGTTAAAAAAAAATCAAATATGATTAAGGAAAGAGCTGATTAAAAAATAACATTTCCTAAAAAAAAATTGGATTAATATTAAATTAATATATTTTTTTTTATTTACAAATGAATAAAAATAAGAAGATTTTCTAAAATTGAACGATGTAAAAAACGAACGCGTTCGTCAAAATAAAAAAGGAAATGCGTTCACGTTCAAAGTTCCTAAAAATAAAAAGAACGTCGTTCATTAATTATATAATATAATAATTATAATATCAATGAAAATATTAGTTCGTTTTTTTTCTTCTTCAAAATATCGATAAAACAAGTTAAGCGACTATATAAAAAAGACAAACTAAAAATAAGTCTTTAATCTCAAAAAGAAATGGTTTATCCCCTCATTCATAGCTAGCGCGAATAAAATACTTTCGGTCACAAATTTACGCGGACTTTGAATGAAGGGTTACCCTGAATTCAAAGTTAGCATAATAAAAAAACGCTAAGTCTAATCCGATATTTAATATTGGCATAGCCATACTTATTTCAAATATTATAACTAAAAAAAATTCGCAATTTAACTATTTTCTTCTAAATAATTCCATATTTTTTTTAAAAAAAAATATTACAACTAATTTGAAGTTCGCTTTACATTAGCTTCTAGAAAATATTTAAAAAATATTCACCCCATCCGATTTAAAAAAAAGAGAGGCACAGCTTCAGGAATTCGGGGGGTCACTATTGGGCGGGGTTTCCCCCCCATAAATTTTTGAAGTCTTGAGGTCTACTTAGTGTAGGCCTTTGGCACTGTTACACTTTAAATAAATTTGGCATGTCACTTTTTTTTTAAAATATAAAATTGATATTTTATTATTTTTAAAAAAATATAAACTTTTATTTATTTTTCTTTAAAATTATTATTTATAGTAATATTTATATAGGGCCAGGCCGTATTTTAAATTTTTTTAAAATGTACCCAGGCTGGGCATAAAATTTTTTTAAAAAAAATACCCAGACCTGGCCATATATTTTAAATCGCCATTAGCTATAAAAATTAAATGTTATATATTATAAAAAATATCCGGGCCAGGCCTGAAAATATAAAATCGGGGCTGGGCCTTGCAAATGCTACCTCGCAGATCTCTGATATATATTATTGTATATATTTTTTAGGAAAATAAGAGTGGGGAAGGAACGTAGGGAAATATTATCAGTAAAATGATATTTACAAAAACAGCAAATTTTCGCTATGCCTATAGTAAAGTCCCAAAAAATGTTATTGAGCAGTATAATTATAATATTTTTAAGGTTATCTCCCACAATTTTTTAGTTAACATGCGAAGATCTCTTTCCCTCAAAACTATATAATTGAAAATCTCTCTTAATTTTAAAATTTCTCCCACATAATTTTAACCTTTTTATATTTATAAAAAATAATTTTGAGAAACATTTTAATGTCGTTTGATTTTTGTATAATAAAATTAATATTAATTTTATAAATAAATGTTATTATAAAATTTTGTTGCGTTTATCATATCCAAGTATTTACTTTTATATAAGAAATAAAGTAACTCCACAAATAAGTAGAAATTAAAACTAGGAATAAAATATTACCTATTTGCAAAAATATAAATCAAAACGATACTGATTTTTAAGATGAAGTTTTAAAAAATAGGAATAAAAAGGGTAGGCCAAAGTGGCATTTTCATTAACCCAGCCAAATGCCGGTAATTTGGCTAAAGGCCAGCAATAATATTTCCCCCAATTTTCATTGATTTCTCCTGCAATTTGTTGATTTTCACCTTAACAATACTGTTCAAGACATCCCCTATATAATTTTTTAAATTATTTACCACAAGATTTTAAGTGTTTTTTTATAATATTGGATTTTTGGTAGCATATCATTATTTATTTTAATTAAATTACTTTATATGTATATATGAAATTTTGTACCATTGTTATTTTATTCTAGCTCTTGCTATTCAAACAGCTTCAAATTCCAAACTGACAAAAACAAACACTTATGAACATTCATACTTGCTAATTAACTTTTTTGCCTATTATTCCTCATTCGATTTTAATAGCCATGGGATGGCCATATCACCTAAAGATCATGCCCAACATCTTGAAACAAATAATCATCCACAATCTACATCACCATTAAATTATCTGCTTTTTGGTAAACCAGACTTCTCACCATTTTACATAAAAAATCCAGTAGATACTTCCTTAAATGTCGCTAAAAATGTAACCAGTGATCAAGTGCAACACTTTAAAGCAGTTTGTAGAGCCACTTTATCAAAGTTAGGAATTTGTTTTGAAGGTTTCCCTTTTAAAAATGATGATATCATTGAACATATAAATAATATTGACAAATTAGGAACCAAAAGTCAAGGCCTATTAGAATTGGTTTTTGAGGATGTAAATCAGGGAGATATAAAAAGATTTTTTGATGCTGAAACATATGTCAATATTGATAATGATCATAGAAGTCATGCAAACAAAGAAAATATTTGTGAATTTGATAATAATAATCTAGAAAATAATGAAGAAATTGATGGATTCCATATTGCAGAAAGGTATAAAAGTCCTATTAGTCAAAATTTAGTCAATAATAAAAATTTGGAAAATGAATTTGATATAAATTCAAAAAATTATATGCCTAAAAACATTAAAATATCGAGTATATTGGAATAGGAGCACAATTTATGACATAAATATCAAATAAATAATCAAGTCAATAGTTGAAATTGAAATATATATTTTTAAAAAAAATATTATTTAAATATGTAAAATATGATCACACAAAATTTTGAATAAAGTTGAGATTATTTTTCTATAATTATATATTTATCATAATAATCCAAAATAGGGTTGACATATAAATATTCTGTTATAAATTACCTATGTCATGATTATCTATGACTATATAGCATTTTTTAAAATAAATATTGATATTTTAATTTTTTTTAATAAATCATAGAATAGATTTAAGATCTTTTTTGAATTATTTCATATAATTTATTATTCCATTCTTCTTCAGTTATTTGGAAGGACCATTGAGGAAAATTTGAAGAAGGAATATTAATATTTAGCATAGCATTTTTAACTTGAATCTCATTTTCTAAATTAAATTCAAAATCTAGATTATTACCAATGTCATCTTCAATATAATCATTTACCTTTTAAGATAATCAAAAATCTATATAAATCTAAATATTAAATATACATATGGAATTTCTATATGGCTTGGTAAAGGTTGCTCTTCTTCCTCAGATTCCTGATTTAAGAGTTCATATCCATCTGTATTTGGGATTATATCCTCATTAATAACTTCATTATTAATAACTAAAATTATAAATTATTTAATCAAAAGTCAGGCTGTTACCAAAATCGTTAATATCTGTTATAGATTGACAAGGAACTTTAGGTATAGGCGTCATATTTTGTAAAAGAGTCATAAAAAAATCAAATCTTATAAGGATATCTGAAAAATTATAGGATGTGCAGCTGATGCTTCTGCATAACTTCTGACCTGAGAAATAAATTAAATAAACAACACAAATCTTATAGCTAATCATTTTTTTAAAAAATATTTTTTGGTGGGATTAACGATGTGATGTTTATGGCTATGAAATACGGCTTAAACCTACTATTGCAGTGATTTTATAAAATCATGACGAGCCAATTAGAATAATCGAAAGTAAAATAAAATTTTATTTTTTGTTTTATGCAATTAAACAACAATATAATTATCTTAAAATATTTATATTATGCAAATTATTTATGAATAAAAATATACCTATTAATTTTGTGTAATTATTTATTTTGAACTAAATTTTAAAACCAAATTTATAAAATAGAGAAAAATAAATTATATTAAAATGAAATAAAATAAAATGCAATCAATAAAATATATTTAAAAGAAAAAGGAATAAAAAATATATTGATAAAATAAACGTGAGTAAGTGTATAGCACCGTAGATTAAATTAATATATATTTGAATTATAATCCCAGGGGGAGTCAAAAAATATTTTTTCATAGCTACTAAATAATCTCTTTTTTTTAGTGGCATAAAATTTTTTTTTGAGGAGACTTTAAATTTTTCAGGTGGCGCTTACTAGTAAAAACCTTCCTGTGGATCCCATAAAATTAAATGTAATTTTTGGTCGAGTGCTTTAAAGAAATCCATACTCTGGATCCGAAAATACTAATTATTCTGTAAAGAATTGGGATTAACGTCATATTAAAGTTATAAGCCTTCCTAGCTCGTCTAAATAAGTTAAACTTAGTCAACGAATTTTATATTATATTATTAAGTTAAGTGAACAATTTATATAATTAAAATTAGCAATTAATTTTCCGAACTATGGGATTCATATTTTCGTTATTTTATAATTGAGTTTGTTAAAGCACATGGACCCAAAAAAAGGAATTATGGTATTATGTGCTCTAACTATAAAATTATTACCTTCAATAAAAATATATTTTTGGAATAAATATAAAGGCCAAATTCTTGTAAAGCATCTGCACAACGGCTGATTGTTGGAACATATGTTTTTAAGATCCTATGTACCATGTGCATCTAACTAAAAATGTTTTATCATACAATAATTTTCGCAAATTTTGGAGTCTAGGACATACAATGTTATCAGGCAGAAAATTTAGTCGCAGAGATAGCCGGATTCTCTCTCCTGATCACATAGTCTGGCTTGATCTTGAGGTTCTTCTATAATTTATATTTCCTAATATTAATGAATTAGATGACTGGTTTAAATCCAAATAAAGATAAAATTCTAGAAATCGCGTGTATTATTACAGATTCCAATCTTTATGTAGTTGAAGAGGTTTGTATTATATTTTTCTTTATATATCTCTAGATCAGGGACCAAATTTAGTAATTCACCAAGAAGATGAAGTATTGGAAAATATGGATGATTGGTGCAAAGCAGTTCATGAAGAAGTAATTAATTGCTTGACATTTTTTATTAGAATATTGAGTAAAATCTAATTTTTAAATTATATCCATATAGATATTAAATCCAATTTTTATTTAAAATTTTATAGTCTGGCTTGTTAAAGGCTGTAAAAGAAAGTGAAATAACTGTGGAAAAGGCATGCCATTTATACCTTTCATTTTTGAGATTTAGTAATATACCGCAAGGAGAGTGTCCTTTGGCAGGGAATACTGTTTATATGGATCGTTTATTTCTTAGGAAGTATATGCCAAGTTTAGATCAATATTTCCATTATCGTACAATAGATGTTAGTTCGGTGAAAGAATTAGCCAAGTAATAAATTGAATTTTATAAATGAATATGCAGGCATAGATTTATATTATCTAGGATATATTTTTCAGAGATGCTATGACACATTGCTTTCAATTTGAACTTTTCCTTAATGATACCAAAAAATCATATTTAATCTTCTTAAATTGAACTTTTATATTTTAATAAATCATATACCAATCCCTAAACTAATAAGAAAGAGAGAAGGTGTTGGTTTTTTAAAATTTCTTTCTACTTTTATTTTAAATAAATTAGAAATGACATTTGATTAATTTGATATGAATTATATTTTTGATTTTTTAAAATAAATAGTATGTTTGACCAAAAGTTACAAATAGCATTACATTACATAACAGTTTGGCACATTACTTGAAATAAATGGTAATCCAAAAAATAAGTAATGGTTTTACCAGTAATTACAATTATAACATGTAACAATTACCAAGGCTCTTCATTACATTTGTAAATAATTTAAAAATAAATGAAAATTAAAAAAGATGATAAAGAATTTTATGATTTCTTTCTCAATTCTAAAATAAAAAAGCAGTATACACAATATATATTACAAACAGGCTAATTTTATTTTATAATTTAATATACTAATTAATAACCAATATTATCATTATGAGCATTTGATGAAGAAACTGATTTTTCAAATAAAATATAATTTACATCTCTTTGGTCTATTACTTAATTTACAAACAAAAATTGGTGCTAAATGTTGGGTAATTTTATATTGTGATTGTATTGAATAAATATTATTTTATTATTATAATGTTGATTTCTAATTATTGATTGTGAAAATGTAGGAATACATCAATTTTAACTTATATGAAATATATTTATAAAAATAATTTTTACCAATGCTCTATTGGGGTTTAGGCTTAGAAACAGTTATAAGATATATTACCTCTAAAGTAACTGCAATTGTCACTAAGAAGTTTTATAAAAAATTTTTACCAGAGGATGATGAGGATTCCCAGCATAATTTATAAAATGGATGGTATCATATCGCAAAAGATGTTTTATACAAAAAACAACATTGCATTACACAAACAAATAAAACGGTGTCATTGCATTTTTAAATGAGAATTCTACCAGAGCGTTATATAACATAACGCTAGCAATAATGTAACGCTATTTATACAGGTAGCGTTACCATATAACGCTCTTCTAATTCTATCATTTTGAAAATATAACAAAAATCTCTGTACTATTTATTAGAGTAAGGCCTCATTTATAGTAAACGCGTCATGTTCAAGCGTTGCGTTATTTAACCTAGCTTTTTATAAAATAAATTTAATAGATAGGTATACATTTATAATTATAAGTCCTTATGATGATAACGCTTTGATAAAATTTGAAAAACATATGTTGCGATGCGTTCATTTAAAAATAATAGCGAATTCATATACTACAAATATATAAAATAATTATCTCAATTTTACCTTTATCTTTTTTTAAAACTGAATTAGCTGTAATAAAGCTGCGTAAATAACGCTACGCTTAAAAATAACGCTTATACTACAAATACAACGCAACGTAACCTAACCTTCAGTTTCGTTACTTTTAAAATTCAATATTTATTAAAAAATCTAGTCATCAAAGAAACGTTTATCCATTTTAAGCAATTTATCACTATTTTTTTTTGCAAATTTTAAATGAGCTCTATTTTGAGAAATAATTATGTTATCAAAAATGGATTAATATAAAATATTAATAAATTCATTTCTGTATATAGTTTATCCTAGGTGCTATAAACATTCTAAAAAAAAACGAACGCGTTCACTCTCAAAAAAAAAATATATGAATAAATTTTTTTAAAAAGCATCTAATATTTAATTTATCTTATATTTTTTTAACACAATATCGTCGGCCTAGAAGTGTAATGCTACACTTGCGCAAATGTTTAAAATGAAAAAATCAACATTAAAGTTTAAAATCAAATATAGGTAAAGCTTATTGATCAATTTTGACAGAGCTATAACTTTGGGCAAATATTAATATTTTTTTTAATCTAATTTTTTATTTTTATATATATTGGGAATAAATAAGTTATTATCGACTTCCAACTCGAAAATTTTGAAAATGTCGAGCACTCCAATTCTAGGCCGACGGAAATGATAACTAAGAGAAAAATACAAACGAAATTTTTACATGACCATCTTTATGCCAAGTTTAAAGTTTTAAAAATTAAAATTCTATAACGACTACAGGGCTTCCAAGTTTTCGCAGTTTTATTTACTTTGTTTATTAATTGATTACCCAATGTTTCCCTTCAATAATTTGCGCGGCAAATTGATATTTACATAAATTAACGCAAATAATATGGCCTAATAAAGTAAAATTGGCGTTATATTTTAATATTAAGGTTTTTTTTAAAAAAAACATTTAAAGATACAATAATCGATTTATGGATAAATATTATGTAAATTGAATTTAAAAAAAAAAATCTCAAAGTAACGGTAACATAACAATTGATTTTAAGTAACGTGCTGGACATACTTTATTATTATCGTGCACCAAGTTAATATCTGTTTTTATATCGATAAAGCTAATAAAAATGTGAAGTAACATGATACTTCATTATTTTGACGTTGGCGGTGCTAATATAGGCCGATACCATGTTAAGTTCCGTTTTTGTATGGATAGAGCTAATGAAAAAAAATGATGTCAGTGCATCTCCGATATCCTTGTTTATAAAAAAAATATAATTTATATAATATTTAAAGGAGATGGTACCCTGGCGTTTTTGGCAAAATGCCGAAGAAAATGCTTCATCACAGGTAATATATTTTTTATTTTACTGTATTTTCAACATTAAACTAATATAAATATTTAAAACATTTATATAGAGCATTAGCTGACATCAAAGAAAGCATCGAAGAATTAAAATTTTACCGACAAAATATTTTTAAATAAGTCATCAACAATCGCTAAATTATATATATTTATGTATGTGTCCGACAAGATATTTCTACATAGTGACTTTTTCTAATATGTTATTTTTAGAATCTTATAATTTATATTTGTCAGGGACATATTTTTTTTTAAAAAACAAATATTCTATATTATTGTCAACTAGTGAATTATTTAGTATTAATATTATACCTCTCCAAATTTTGCAATTATATTTTAATTGTTTATATTTGTATAAATTAATTATAAAAATTTCTGAATAAATTTCTTAGTCATACATTACTTGTAAATTTTAAGAGGATTTTTACTATAACCTCTTACTGATATTATCCTTAAAAATTTAGATATTTAAAATTGCTAAAAGATTTATAAGCAACTACTAAAAAACAATAGCTCCTTTTTTCTATTATTTTGCGCCTTAACAATTAAGCCAAAACCTAATTTTTTAGGGCATCAAAAACGGTTCGATAAAAATAGTTAATTTGAAGAATATTTTTCAGCATAATCCTGCATTCACATAGCGCGAATTCGCGACGGAGGATAGAAAAATGCAGCATATTGTATAATTCGCCTCGAATTAACGCTAATTATGAATGAGGGGTAACGAATTTTTTTATTTTCATAAAGTTATAATATAGTGCTTAATTAATTATAAACTATTATTAAAAATTTTATATTACAGTTTGTATTGCAACCATCAAATAATCAAATATTTTTGGGTACACCTTACTGCAAGCTTAAAAATATCAAATATTTTTAATAATATAATGTAAAAAAATATATATAATTTGTATATTTTATTAAAATTTGCTAATATTTAAAAACAGGGAACTGCATTACTCAAGACATACAGTTACATGTGCCTGATTACAAATTCGTCATTTTTTTTTGATATGTTAACTAAGAATTGCATAGTTTACTTCGATTGTAGAATATTTATTAAATAGCAGTATGGATAAATTTATTTTCATCACAAATAAAATTGAAATTATTTTATTTTTTCCGCATCTTTAAAAAAAATTATAGTTGGCTACGTTTTTTTAAGTTATATTTAAGAGGAATTAAAACAAAAGAATTTTGTGATCTTCTCTGGTTCCGATTGTCCATTTCTCTTTATAGCATTAATCTTAATTTAAATTATTACACCTAATAGTCACCTTGAAATGATTACCAAATAAGAAAGACAGCCGAGGGCGCACAACCTGCACAAAATACTTTTCGAGCCAGGAAACTTGTGCAAAATAATTTATCGGTTCTTAATTGTAACTTGAAATAATGCAATTTTATGATTTTTCTTCTGCTAAAATAAAAAATCATTACTGGCCAACCATCCAATGAAAAATATTTTTCCTTACACTGGGCTATAACACTTTTTATAAATTCTTGACCGGCCGATTCGGAGTCATGCTGATCTAGTAATTAATGGGTAAAATTGATTTGTCATAAATCAACAACTATACAAATACCCCCTCCCTTTCCTCCGAATATTGACCTAATCTATACTGTGTCCAAGTAAAAATTTAAATGTTAGGTAGTGTTGTTAAACGGCTCAATTTGAGCCGATAATAAAAAACGGCTAACTCAATATTTTATCCAGAAAAATATTATGCAAGCTTAAAGATTTTGCTCATAGATAGCACAAAGGTTTAGACATCTGCGAAATCTGGAGCCTTAGGCAATATTTTTTTAGCTAAAATATTGAGTTAGCCGTTTTTAAAAATCGGCTCAAAATGAGCCGTTTAACAACACTAATCATGAATATTACCAATATATCTATGTTCTTTGACAAAATGAAAATATACTTGCATTTTGTCTTTCGTCAGTTTACTGTTCCATTCCAAGCCCTAAAAAAATTGTTCAAATTATTAGAATTTTATAATCATTGCCAGTAGGGAGTTTCTATTGCTATATTTCATCTAGCTTCCAACTCATTTTGAAGGTAGCACATGGGGTGGTGGGGGATCGTTATAAATTATATCTCAAAGAGATCTACAATATTATCCAAAAATAAATCGAATATTTATGAAAATATTAAAACGATATTTTTTTAGAAATTATACACATATTATATTTATAAAATAATGATTTTTAGGATGATAAAGTCTGCTAATTTTATTTGAAATCACTAAACTTTGCTCCATATATATTTATGGAAAGCAGAGATATTCTTTTTATTTTGACCCGCAAGTTGACCGGAAGAATCAATCCTTCCCGTCAGAACTTGTCAAAACCAATCGATCGCTAGAATCAATGTCGGACGTTGTCTCGTTTATGTCTGAAGATTCTGGACTCCAGAAATGGCTAATAGACAATCCGTCTGCATCTTGGTCTTCCGCTAGCAACTCGGAAGCAGAGGTTACATCTATGGAATTCTTGGAGAACTCGCTCTTTGGAGACTACAATAATTCTGTTAGGCCCCAGGTGATATCAACAGCTCTCCCGGCAATGAACGACATCCTCATCGGTATCGTGACGGAGGATGAAGGATCTACACAGATTCTAACCTCACCCACCAGTGGCTCCTCCCTAAACATAGCGACAGCCAGGCTAACTGTGAGGCCACTGATGTCCAACTTTACCCATGCAGTGGCCACCAAGGGATTTAAGCCGAGACTGTATCATGTAAGGATACTGGAAAATGAGGAAGATATTATCGCCAGCAGATATCAATCAATAATTACCCAATTACTGAAACATCATACAACCGGGAAACGCTGACCAATATGCTCCCTACTTTACATCATCCCCAAGTCTGACGGATCCCCGAGAGTCATCAATTTCCTAGACGTCGAAGAATTTTTTCAAGAACCCGTTCCACCTCAAGTCCATCCCAATGATGTCTGGAAAACTTGAAAGAGCCAAATTCTCGTGTTAGATAGATAGTAGATCCGCCTTCTTCTCAATACCGATATCACATTAGACGTTTCTTTCTACTATTTCAAGAACAAACTTTAGGTACACAGTGCTTCCTATGGGAGTATCCTTTAGCCCATACTGTATACAGTCAACTTGCAATCGAAAAATCAGTATTGGACCCAAATCCTTACACTACCTACCTGGGTATTCCCATCGATTTGCAAACAAAAAAGCTAACAGCTGATAACGATAACCTGCCGACGCCTCGCCCTATGCCTCGATATTCAGACGTTATTCATAGCTACATCTGGATGGCCGGCTACTAGCCGCTATAGACTTAGGCCACTTCGCGTACTATCACTGGAATGTCGCGGCTCTTCTTGCCCTACATTATCATGAACCCCTAGCTCACATCCGTGGTGGATATCTACGTAGCCTTCTAGAAAGCTCAAATCATCGTGGACGCCCTACAAGCTCCAATCAGTATACGATACCCGGCAAACAATGCTGTATATACGAAAGAGTCCGATTTACATATAGGAATCTCCTTTTAGGATATGGACAATCTCTCTGTCGCCTATCAGGAAGTGGCCCTCATTTTCAAATATACCCAAGCACGCTATCCTACACAACGCAAAAAAGATACTCGCGGGGGGAATATGATCACTACTAGCTATCGATAAGGATGGGGTACCTCCGCTCATCTTTTCGGATTCATCAGTAAGCTTACTGTCTATAGGAAAGGAGGTTCAAGGTTCCCATCTATCGAAGTAGCTATAACTCAGATTCTTAGGAAGATTGGGCTTCCGGACTTCACCGCGATAAGCCAAAATATCAAATGCCCCACCGGCCACTGTTAATGAACTTGCTCGCACTTGGATTGGTGACAGATCCGCCCTGGCCTTCTTTAGCCAACCACAACTTGAACAAGCTATAAGAGATCTGGAAGATCAACACTCACTGTTTGGAACAGAAATGATTAACACTATCACTGATCTCAGGATTATTAATACCATCAATCGAGACGTGGAACATGGAGCAAATATCGATTCATACCGACATAACTCAACGATTAAAGTAGCAACAGTCAAAAAACCCTACGGAATAAAATCGACATAGCGATAGAACGATTCATCCGCCAATATTTTTTATATAAATACACAAATATTACATATAATCACCCATTATCAATCACTTTTTACATCTTCTCGAAATATTGTTAAATTACTTATATTTACGTACACCTGTTATACACCCTTCCTCAAAATTTATGAAAGGGTTGTTAGAAATCAGCTGGAAAATATTTAAAGAAATAGAAGAAAATTATGGAAAAGGTTTTAACAATTTAAAATTGGAAAATAAAAAATGTGAAACCATATTTTTTCTTAGAAAGGGGGAGGGTTAATTCCAATAATCCCTTTTTTATACAGATATCAATCCATTGGATTTTTTTCTGTAGATTTCATTTTCCCTCAGGTCCGTGGAATTATTTTCCTAGATTCTTAATATAAATAATTTTATCTACTTTTAATTTATTTTTCCTTTGAGTTTTACAATATTCAAAATATTTTTATCTAATTCTTAGTTCAGCATATATGATAGGACTCTAATGCTTATCGTATAAAATATTAATAAGTAATATGGTAAATATAACAAAGTAGCAGAGACTGTGAAGGCCTGTACCCTGAGGTTGGTTTACGTTATTTACTTTTATCGCTGTTACTGACTTACATAAGAAACCTTTGGACACATTTCAAAAATATATTCATCATGGGCACAAATTTTGAAACTGTTTAATATTTACTTTGGCAATTATTATTCTGATTGACTAACGTGATTCTTCTCTCATGTATATAGCCGCATTGGTTTCATAATTTATCACTTCATTAATTCAATTCAAGTTATATCCAGGTTATAGCCAAAAATTAAAAAACTATTGGCAATGATTCTCTAATATTTTAAATTTTGGCAAGGTTTCAAAATTCATATGTAGCTTAATTGACTAACGGCTAATTCCGCCAGTGAGATAAATTGAGTATTGGCATAGGTTATCGAATTAAAACTTTTTAAGGTGGCTTCGCCATATTAACAAAAAACATCTACTTTTGATCTAAATTTAATTTTTTTATAAATGTTAAAATTTAACTAAAGTTTAATATCAAGGTTATTTTATATATATCATTATCAATATATAAAAAATAAGTATCTTGATGCAAATTGAAAATGGACAGAAATAATTTAATGATTTATGGAACAAAAAAAAACTAAAGATAAAATTAGCTTATCCATCTTTAAAAGAAATTAAATTTTAGTATTATTTGTAGTATATT